ATATATATATATATATATATATATATATATAAAGAGAGAGAGAACAAATTTCTCCAAAAAGTCAATACTGATGGATTCTGTGAGTGTCTTATAGTGGCCTATGGTGTTTCTGTGTGTCGATAAAGACTCAAGGCAAGATAATCTTCACAGCCTTCACATCACGTCATTGCTTCTACCTGCCCCTCTTTGCACTGTGAAGCCAGTGGACATCATCAACTCAGTCCGCCAGGGTCTTTGTACTCAGGAAGTGACTCCATATGAGGCTTCAGTTCCTCATCTTCATGAGCCACATTCATGCATGGAATTTTCATGATTTGCCCTAATGCGCCTCTCGCAGACATGGAGGATGAGAAGTGTCTTGACAGGTTTTCACATTCTATGGACAAGTACAAGTGAATATGGTGAATTCACTACTGCTTTCTCTGATCCTTAAAAAGTTGTCCATCAAAATGCAGGCATATGATGACCAGAATACATACAATGACTCTTAGGCTCCACACCTCCACCATGGAGCCATCTCACTTTTGGCCCTGGAAAGAGTTCCAAGGCATTATAAGGAAGCTGCCACACAAGGCATCCAACTTATTGCCAAAGGGGAACTCATTGCTGAAGCAAAAGTCTGCAAACTTGATGTTTATGTCAGTTTCCAGTAGTTGGTTTTCTGCCTTTAGGTCTATGTAATACTGTACAGCAGACACTCTCTGGCAGAATTTTCCTGGGGCCCTTTCTCTTTCATACTGCCATGATCCACTAGGTAATTGAACAGCCCTTCCTCACTAGCGTCTCCATGACAAGGTAGACTGTTCCTGTCTCCATCATTTCAAATAATTCCATAATGTTGGGGTGATCCAAGGCCCTCAATATTTTGACTTTATAGGATACTTAACAGGATTGACTCCTGTTAATGATCTTCATGACCATCTCTTTTCCAATCAGGATGTGTCAGGTTAACTTCACCTCGGCAAAGATATCCTTGCCCATGGTAGTTGCCAACCTGGGTCTTTCCCTCAGCAGAGATGACTGAGAGACCCGGCAGTGTGTTACACTTACTTGGAGGCACCATGTCCCAATGTCAGCTTAAAACCGGGAAAAGCTAGGGAGAAACTTGACCCAAATTACTTCAAAAGAAAATCACTTTCAAAGCATACCTGAAAAACTGATCTTTATGATGGAATCAACATAGTGCCAGACAAAAATAAAGGTAAACAAAAACATTAACAAACTAAATTTTAAAAATGCAAAAAAACAAGAATAAAAAATAAGAAAAAGATTTAAAAAGAATTTCTTTTATGATTAAATTTTTCACTTTTTCTTTAAAGTGAAAATAATTAATAGACAAAGTAGACAAAAACCCTACAATGCCAAGGAAGAAACTAACTTTAGTCAAAGTCCCCACAGGTCATTGAAAACCAGCTTCCCGAGCCAGAAGGTACAAAATCCTCCGCCCAGCCAACATCTTAAATAGGTTCTTGGGATTCCCTAACAATGGCCTCTTATGAGGACATGGCAAGAAACTGGCTTATCATGGCCAGGGATAAGGCACAGCAATTTTCTCACTTTTTGGATTCTAGAACGCTTTACTCTTTTTTAACGTTTTTATTTCAATTCCAGTTAGTTAACATACAGTTTCAGGTGTAAAATATAGTGATTCAACACTTCTGCACATCACCCAATGCTCATCACAAGAAGTGCACTCTTTAATTCCCATCACCTATTTAACCCATCCTCCCACCCCCTTTCCTCTGGGAACCATCAGTTTAGAGCTCTTTACTCTTAAAAAAATACTGCATTTTGTATCAGTTTACACACTGCCCAATACTAATACTTTAGAATTGTCTATATTTTTAAAAAATATTAATTAAAAAAATGTGAACTTACATAACAATTTCTTGCTTAAAGTTTATTATAGAGAGAGAGATATCTATATCTATAGAGATACATGTGCTCTATTTTATAGGGCAATTTGAGGTTTACAGAAGAATTGAGAGGAAACTGCAGAGTTCCCATATAACCCCCCCACCTTCCTATCCCCATAATTTCCGCAAATATTAACATCTTGCATTAGTGTAGTGTATTTGTTACAATTGACCCAATATTAATACATTAAAATTAACTAAAGTGCTGGTTTGCATCAGGGATCATTTTTGTGTTGTACATTATGTGGGTTTTGACAAATGTATAATGACATATGTGCATGGTTACAGTAACACACAGAACAGTTTTGCTCTAGTAAAAATCCTATGTGCTACACCTGTTCATCCCTCTCTCCCCCAAACCTTTGGCAACTACTGATCTTTTAATAGGTATAGTTTTGTCTTTTCCAGAGTGTCATAGACTTGTCATTATACAGTATGTAGCCTTTTCGGATTGGCTTAGTTCACTTGGCAATATGTGATTAAGGTTCTTCCATGTCTTTTTGTGGCATGATAGCTCATTGCTTTTTATCACTGAATAATATTCGACCAACCAGATTTACCACAGTTTGTTTATCTGTTCACCAATTGAAGGATATCTTGATTGTTCCCAGGTTTTGGCAATTGTGACTAAAGTTGCTATAAACACTTGTGTGCAGGTTTTTGTGTGGACACAAGTTTTCAACTCATTTGGGTAAATACCAAGGATCACAGTTGCTGGGTCATATGGTTAGAGTATGTTTAGTTTTATAAGAAACTGCCAAACTGTCTTCCAAAGTAGCTGTACCATTTTGTATTCCCACCAACAATGAGAGTTTCTGTTGTTCCGCATTTTTGTCAGCATTTGGGGCAGTCAGTGTTTTGAGTTTGGCCCTTCTAATAGGTGCGTACTAGTAGCTCACTGTTGTTGTAATTTGAAATTCTCTGATAATATGTGATGTGGGCCATCTTTTTATGTTTATTTGCCATCTGTATGTCTTCCTCAATAAGATGTCTGTTCAGATCTTTTGCCCATTTTTAATTGTTTTTTTTTCTTATTGAGTTTTAAGAGTTCTTTGTATATGTTGGTTGTTACTCCCTTATCAGGTATGTGTTTTGCAAAAATTCCTCTTCTAGTTTGAAACATGGGTTTTCATTCTCTTCACAGTGTATTTTGCAGAGCAAAAGTTTTTAATTCTAATGAAGCTGTTTGTTTTTTTTTTTTTCATGGATCATACTTTTGATGTTGTATCTAAAAAGTCATTGCCAGCCCCAAAGTCATCTAGATTTTTCTTATGTTATCTGCTAGGACTTCTGTAGTTTTGCATTTTACAATTAGGTCTCTGATCTATCTTGAGTTAATTTTTGTGAAAGGTATAAGAATTGTGTCTAGATTTCTAGTTTTGTGAGAGGATGCCATTATTCTACCCCCATTTGTTGAAAAGGCTATCCATTCTCCATTGAATTACTGTGCTCCCTTGTCAAAGATCGGTTGACTATATTTGTGTTGGTCTAATTTTGGGCTTTCTCTTCTGTTCCACTGATCTGTTTGTCTATTTGTTTACCAATAACACACTGTCTTGATTACTATTGCTTTATAATAAGTATTGAAGTGGAGTAGTATCACTCCTTCCACTTTGTTCTTGTCCTTCAATATTATATTGGCTCTTCTGTGTCTTTTCCCTTCCCATATAAGCTTTAGAATCTGTTTTGTCAATATCCACAAAATAATTTTCTGGCGTTCTGGTCAGGATTGCATTGAATCTGTAGATAAAGCTGAGAAGAACGAACATCTTGAGAGTATTGAGTCTCCCTATTGATGTGCATGGGATATCTCTCCATTTATTTAACTTTTATTTGATTTATTTCCTCCAAGTTTTGTAGTTTTTCTTATGTAGATTTTGTACATATTTTTTTAGATTTATACCAAAGTATTTCATTTTTATGGGTACCAATGTAAATGGTCTTTTCTTTCAAAGTCCACTTATTCACTGCTGGTAAATAGGAAAGCAATTTATTTTTGTGTATTAATGTTGTATTCTGCTACCTGGCCATAATTGCTTATTAGTTCCAGGAGGGTTTTTTTTTTTGTTGATTCTTGGAGATTTTCTGTATAGACAATCATCTCATCTGCAATAAAAACAGTTTTAATTCTTCTACCTTGTATTTTCTGTTCTTGTGTTATTGCATTTCAGTATAATGTCAAACAGGAGTTGTGAAAGGGGTATCTTTGCCTTGTTTTAGATCTTAGCAGGGAAGTATTTAGTTTCTCACCATTAAGTATGATGTTAGTTGTAAGGTTTTTTGTAGATGTTCTTTATCAAGTTGAATTTTCCTCTCATCCTGGTTTTCTGAGAATTTTTTCATGAATAGGTGTTACATTTTGTAAAATGATATTTCTGTATCTATTGATATGATCAGATGATTTCTTTTCTTTATCCCTTTGAATTAATGGATTACATTAATTACATTTAATTGATTTTTGAATATTGAAGCAGCCTTAAATACCTAGAATATATTTCACTTGCTCCTAATGTATAATAATCCTTTCTATACTCTGTTGAGTTCAATTTACTATTATTTTGTTGAGGATTTTTAAATCTATGTTATTTTTGTTGATCCATAATTTTCCTTTTTGTCATGTTTTTGTCTGGTTTTGTATTAGAGTAATGCTGTCCTTATAGGATGAGTTAGGAAGTGTTTTCTCTGCTTCTCTTTTCTAGAAGAGATTAGAGAGAATTGGTAACATTTCCTCAAATGTCTGATAAAATTCACCAGTGAGCTCTAGACCTGGCGCCTTCTGCTTTGGAAGATTATAAATTATTGATTCAGGGGCACCTAGGTGGCTCATCGGTTAAGCACCTGACTCTTGGTTTCAGCTCAGATCATGATCTCATGGCTTTGTGGGTTCAAGCCCCGCATGGGGCTCCACGCTGGCAGTGTGGAGCCTGCTTGGGATGTTTCCCCCTCCCTCTCTCTCTGCCCCTACCCTACTTGTGCTGTTTCCCTCTCTCTCAAAATAAATAAACTTCAAAAGATATATATTGATTCAATTTATTTGATAGATGCATACTAATTCAGATTACCTATTTCTCCTTGTGTGAGCCCTGTGGAGCCCTCATAAGTCTGGCCCCTTAGGAGATTTTATATCATAAGTTAGTCCTTGCTCAGTCTCCAGCAATTGGTCAATTACCCTTTTCAGTGTCTCTCTTAAAGACTCCAGCAGCAGCGTCTGTTCCCAGTAAGCTATGATTTTCTGTATTCACCTGTCTCTATAGTTTTCAGGGCAGTGGTTTGCCCGGTGGCATCAATTCTGTAATGAATCTAAGAAGAGTTATTGGTATTCAGTTTGTTCAGCTTTTTTCTTGTGGTGAAGATGGGAGTGATGCCTTCCAAGCTCCTTATATAGATAGCAGGGAGAGTTGATGAAGAAAACAGTTCATACAGAGAATAAAAGAGAAAAACCATGTATGTTACAATGTATGTGAATAGCCCAGAAAACTAATCCTGTTCTGTATAGCACAACTACTTTCATATATGAATGGTAAACATTTAAGGTTAATATTATCATTCTCAAGTTAAAATTTCTTTTTTTATCTTTTAATGTTTATTAATTTTTGACAGAGAGAGAGAGACAGAGCATGAGCAGGGGAACGGCAGAGAGAGAGGGAGACACAGAATCCAAATAGGTTCCAAGCTCTGAGCTGTCAGCACAGAGTCCGACTCGGGACTTGAACTCACAGGCCACGAGATCATGACCTGAGCCGAAGTCGGACGCTCAACCAACTGAGCCACCCAGGCGCCCCTATCATTCTTAAGTTAAAAAACAACTGGGTGTCTACATAGCTAGTGTATTAGAGTTAAAATCCCAGTATTAAGGGTGCCTGGGTGGCTCAGTCACTTAAGTGACTTTTTTTTTTTTTTTGCTGTTTTTTTTTTAATATAATTTATTGTCAGATTGGCTAACATACAGTGTGTACAGCATGCTCTTGGTTTTGGGGGGTAGATTCCCGTGTTCTATTGCTTACATACAATACCCAGTGCTCATCCCAACAAGGGCCCTCCTCAATGTGACTGACTCTTGAGTTCAGTTCAGGTCATGATCTCATGGTTCGTGAGACCAAGCCCCATGTCAGGCTCTGCACTGACAGTATGGAGCCTGCTTGGAATTTTCTCCCTCCCTCTCCCTCTGCACCCACCCTGCCTCCCCCACTTGTGCACATGCATGCACAAGAACTCTCTAAAAAAAAAAATCAAGAACTTGGGTTTAATCATTGAGAACCTTTTATAAGCTCTAATTTGTAAAATTTACAAGATGTGTCCTTGTAGTGTCTTAAATAGTAAAGAGGATATTTGAGGAAGTATATACCATCAGAGTGGGATTAAGAGGGGGTATGGACCACAGTTTTTCTTTTTGTTTTTTGCATTTTTTTAATTTATTTTTTTTATTTTTTAAATTGCCCACTGTTGCTTCGGAACCTGTTCTTTTTAAGCTTTGGGACCTGATCATTCCCAAGAAACATTAGGCATCTATTCTCTCATTCAGCAGTGGGCAATGGGTATTTCATTTTCAAAGTCACAGAGCATGAGAGAGACAAATAGCAGTATTTACACTGTGCCATATGTCAGCAGGCCTTTCTGGGTCATTATGGTGATGTCTTTCCTCTCTAAATAATTTTTACAAATGTACTGATGAAGACAGATTTTTGTGGTCTGTCTTTGATGGGTCATAAGATGAACCAGCACTATATTTTTTGCTGAAAATATGCGTAGTTGTGACATGGTATTTCATACTTTTGAGTTTATTGCTGCCAAAATGAACATAGCTGTAAGAAATGATGATCCTCTCATCTTTGTAACAGTAAAATGGCTTCCTAATGTGTTTCCCTAACTCTGAACATTAACTTAATATTCCCCTGGATTTCTGAGTTCAATCCTTTCCCCCCGCGGAAATCCCGTGAAGAATACAGCTTTTGACCAAATGACAGAGCATAGAGGATGAAATTAGTTGCATTAAATTACGATATGACAAAAAGCCTTTCAAAATCTTTGTCACAATGCAACATTCAAGCAACATTAAACAAACCAGAGTAAAAATAGACCAAGGAAGAGAGTTAATATTTTTAAAGGAAATCTTGTGAACTAAGATCACTTACAAATTTTGAAAGCCATTGATTTATAGCCGGTATGCTATGGCAGTTTCTAATTTGGAGATCCTACCTTACAATCATATATGTTGTCCCCTCTTGTTTAATCTATGGATATAGAATTAACTGTTAAAATACTTTTTTGGTACACTTTTAAATTTCTCAAAAAAACAAGTCTCCATTGAGAAAGTTAGCATTTAAGAAAGTAACAGAGAAAGGGAGGAAGCATAAGATATACGCTTTTATGCAATGTTTATTGTCTTTCTAAGTATATGTATCTAAATAACAGCATACATTTTATAAATTATTATAAAAATAAATTTTATTCTAAAAACAGAAAGAAGAGTTTTGATACCTTTTTCCTTTATTTCTACCATACTTTGGGTTTATTTTGTGTTAATTTATTTCCTTTTTCCCCTGAAAGATCTGATGTTTATGTTTTAAGTTTAATTCTACCATGTTGGGATGTGGGAAAATAAAAGCTTTTGATAGGGTTAATCTAGCTACATAAAAGTCCATGTTGAATATGATCATAATCTTGAACTTTGATTAGGTCTGAGCTAGTAATATCTTGTGATTAATCAAAATGGGTTGTACTGCCTGTAGTATAAGTCATCTTCACAGATGGGATAGAGAATTATCAGAGTTCTCTTGAATATTTGTTTTAATCCCTTCTAGGATAAAATGGCTTTGGATTTTTTTTTTTAACTTTAAATCAGATTGAGTTCACCAAATAAATGAAGAAGAAGAAATTTTGAAGTCTAGTTTTGCTAGGATTATAGGTCAAAAAAGAAGGAACTTGTTTTTTAATTCACAATATTTCAATGTTTCATTGAATGTGTTTCATATGTTGTCTTGTAAAATTTAATAAATATTCCTATTCATTTTGTAGTTGAATAAAAACTTTATGAAAGGATATAACAAGATATACTTCATGGAAACAATGTTGAAGTTTTTACTGTTCCCAACAGCATAAAAGATTTTTTGAGATTATTAATTGTCCCTCTTCTAATGATATAATCCTAGCCTAAAGTGACATCTGATAACAAAGAACTTTACTTTGGCAAGTGAACTACCTGACATCTAACACTCAGAACAGTACAGACAGAGCTCATACATAAAATGGTTACTAAGTGTAGCTGTCATTTCAGTCAGCCATTTGAGCCTTACAAGATAACAAAGTTCTTCAAAAAGTTGCTCACCAAAAGCTATGAGTTGAACTGTATACCCCAAAACCCACACATACTGGTGGGGCTCAATAAATCCATGTCTTGGATTATATAAGAATCATTGAATAAAAGAACAGAATTAGCTGTGCAATTCATCCATTCACTTCTAGAGTGGATTCATAACTCACATGTATTAAAATAGGGACTTAATTTTTTCTTGTGTTTGTTTGTTTGTTTGTTTTTCTCATAGGAGACCTGGTGAGCCTCCATTGATAAAAGGCTGGCTTCCTTACCTTGGAGAGGCCCTGAACTTCCAAAAGAATCCTTTAGGTTTCATGAAAACACTTCAAAAGCAACATGGTGACACTTTCACTGTTCTCCTTGGGGGTAAGCAGCACTTCTTTAAGTACCTTCCATAAGTCATAAGTTCTTGGGGTGTCTGGCTGGCTCATTTGGTAGCGTGTGCAACTCTTGATCTCAGGGGCATGAGTTCAAGCCCCGCACTGAGTGTGGAGCCTACTTAAAATTTAAAAGAAACAAAAAACAGAAAAGAAAAATGCTTAAAAAAATAATAAATTCTCAGTTGATTTTTTTCTCAGTTGTTCTTAAGTTGTATTTTTTTCTAGGCAAAATATGGAATGTTTATATATTATTGTTTCATTTGTAGGCTAATACAAAAGAAAACTATTTCTTTGGGTACAATAATTTTCACATTAAAAACAAAGTTTTTACACCAAGTGTAAAAGTCTTGAGGGTACCTAGGGAACCCTGCTGTCCTCCCATCACCTGCCATTTTGGCTTCATTTG